AGTAGCTTGTATGTAAATTATTTCCTGTAAATATGAATGAGCTTACAACTTGATTGAACTGTTGATTGCTGGTGAGGTTTTCCTATCCTTCAGAGAGGTTTTCCCTGACACTACAAGCCCCTTCAGGACTTGGCCAAATGGGGCGATTTGCTGTTCAATCAGGTATGCAGAAATTGAGGAGGGGTGTTGAATATAGCAATTTCCCATACCTGTACTGTACATATTCTCATAACACCTGAACCTGCCTACATCTGAATATGAATCTGTATGTTGTGTACTGCAAGTAAACTGTACTCTGTCTCCTCGTTCACTTGGTTCTCGACTCTGCTGGAGTGCGGTTGTATTTCCTCTACTGGACAATATATCTCAACTTTATCAACTTGAACTAAGTATCCTTCTTAACCCTGAACGCCCTCACACAACCTGATAATTCAACAAAACATTCATTAAAATAAGACATTTCTTGTCCTGAGTCATATATTCAATTGTTAAGCCTCTACATTGGTATCTTGGAGATGATGAGAAAAATATATCTACGCAGACCATTTCTGCCATATGGAAGTAACCTTTCCAAACTAAGTATTCTCCTTGCTTCATTTTAAAACCTTATCAAGATTTCAACACAAAGATATCAAAAGTGATTCTTAGATTTAATACGAACACTCTTGGCTCATGCCGTTCAAGTTACGATACCAAAATGAGGTCTTAAGAGGGGGTTCTGGTGAAAACGCTATTTTCTCCTAAATAGGTCCCACTGTGAAAATTTGTTAAAAATTTGATGTCTTATCAAGTATTTGTGTAAATTTTTCATTGGGGAGGCACATTCCATGCCCTAAACCCATTCGCAGAGCCTTTTTCTCCCATTTAGGCCATAACTTTAAAAATCTTCTTGCGCATACTATTTTGTCGTAAAAGGTTGGCTTAGACATTTTTCACTTCTTCGATTCATTTTCTAAAAATGCCGGCATGCACATCTCAAAATGTCAATTGCAATTTTATTCCCAAGCTTTCTAACCAAGCATTTCACTATAATTGATCAAAAATGTACAAAATAGACAAATTTAAGGGACTTTTCAGCTTAAAAAGCTAATAACTAATAATGTAATGGAAGTTTTGAGCTCTGCATGCCGGAATCTTTTGAAAATGAGTCGAAGAAGTGAAAAATGTCAAGGTCATCCTTTTACGACAAAATAGTATGCGCAAGGAGATTTTTTAAGATACAGCCAAAATAGGCTCAAAAAGACTCTTCGACTGGGTTTACAGCCTGGCATGTGCCTTCAAAAGTCAAATTTTAGTCTCCTCAATGAAAATTTTATATTCGGAACAAATTATGACTGTAGGATCCATTTGGAAAATGGCAAGATTTTCACCAGAACCTCCCCTTAAGGTATAAAATGTCGACTGATCAATTGTTAGAAAGCTGGGACAGAGTTAAAATTTTGTGGCCTTGTTCGACTAAGGAGATGAGTTCTGAACCAAGTATCGTCAAAATCAAAGGACCGCCTTTATTTGCAAGCTCTATTTTAGTGAAGTTTTCATCAGTTTTTTCTTAATAATTCCAAGTTTTGTTACTTATATGAATACAAAAGTCTACAGGGAAGCCAATGAAACCTGGCTGGACCCTTTCTGACTACACATGTCAAGTGGCCACGGAATGTGACATTCAAAGTTGACAAAAGTTTAAAATCGCTATAATAACTGAACGGTCACTCCAACCATCTCAGTTCAAATTACGATACCATTATAAGGTCTTAAAGTAAAAAATGTGGACCGATAAGGTATAAAATGTGAACCGATCAATAGCTAAAAAGCTGGGCCAGACCTGAAATTTTGTGGGCTTGTTCGACTAAGGGTAGGTGAGCTCTGAATCAAGTATCACCAACATGGAAGGACCACCTATTTTAGCAAGCTCTATTTTTGTGAAGTTTTAAAGTAGTTAGTCTAATTTTAAATAAACGTCAGAATTGGTCGAGAGTAGGCTCAAATTAAAGATGAGAACGTCCCGAAGACAGCGCGGGCCAGAAACATACCCGTTTCCATGCTCATTTTCGAACTATAGCCCGTTAAAAATTGCTAAATTAACATGGGCTCTTATGGGGGACTTCAAAAAATTCTGATATCTCCGAATGCAGACGTAAATGGTCAAAATGCTTCGGTAGGAATATTTTATAGAGCGCAACGAAGCAACAGGTTAAAAATGAACAACTTCAGCCGTACAGAAATAGAGAAATAGCAAAAAGGAGGCTGACAGGGGCCGAATCGGCTGCTACTGGACTGCCGCCGCCATCTTGCCCCGGAAGCGGCTCGTGGCGCGTGGTTCGAGCGTGGCGCTGGCAGCGGGACGGCGACACATTCAAACAGTGAATTGAGTTATGCAAGTTATTTTCTCCCTTTTAGTTTGGTACTCTCGACCAATTTTGAGGTTTGTCACAATTTCCTAAGAAAAAATACTGAGCAAATTCTGAATGTAAGATTTCCCCCCTTTGAAATTGCATGCCCGCCACAGATGTTTCCGGGTAGGCAGGGTTCCAACATTTCGATCGCAAAGAACGATAGACGCGGCGTTCTCTTTGCAGGTTTCGTGAACTTTGGGGTTTATAAAAAAAAATGGAATTGCTTTGTAAAACCACTTCGTCTGAATAATAACTGTGTAAAGGTGAAAAAAAAGTTTGCAGCAACGGATCAAGTTTTCGTCACTTCATCCCCGGGGAATTGGCCCAGGTCCAAAACTAGTAAAGTGCAGAACTAAACTGTATTTTTTTATTACAAATATATTAACTGTCCCCAAAAAAAGGTGCTGATAAAGAAAATAGCGAAAAAAGAAACACTTAGAATACTGCTCATTTTTTTTTTACCATAGGACATGCTTATTTAAATTTTTTTTAAAAAAGTCATGTGAGACTCATTTGACTGGGCTCCAAATCAGACTAACTACTTTAATCATTTTTTAAAAAAATATTTCCAAGTTTTTCATTTTTTTCCTAATTTTATTGCTTATATGGATACAATAGTCTATGGGTGAGCCAATGAAACCTGGCTGGTCCCTTTCTCATTACAAATGCCAAGTAGCCAAGGAATGCGACATTCAAAGTTGACTAAAGTTTCAAATCGCTGTAGAATCTGAACGGTTTGGAGTTGCTAAAAAAAGAAATGCAGAGCCACTAAAGGGGTCATCCTGAGTGGATTGACACCTATATTGGCCAATTCCATCAGGGCGGGTGACGGGGGGGGGGCGGGGTAGGGCGGGGGAAAGTAGGGGTACAGCTGGACATCCCAAGAGACACGGAAAGACTGCGCGCCGGACTGGCTGCCTACCTTCACGGGGCGTCTCAGCCGATTCGCGCGCACAAGTTCAGTAAAATTGAGAATTCTTGTGTTTAGAGGCCGAAACCCAACTTTTTCCATATACCAATCGAAAGCTTATGAAATTTCGAGTAAGTGAGTATACATTAGACAAGTTAAAAAGCTGCCGTTTACTTATTTTCTTAATTGGGAAAACTTGTAGTGCAAAAATTGAGTTTTAGCGGCATTTTTGCGAAGTTTGGCATCCGCTTACCCGATCGGGCTCATATTGGTACCGTTGGATTCGTCTTGAAATTCCCTTTCGAATGGTATAAGCGGCATGCGTGTAGCTCATCACCCTGAGCTATAAAGCTCAAAAATGTGTATTTTGCTTAGATAAAATTTTAGTGCAGAGTTGTTTATTGCGGCCTACAGCTCCTAAGGGAGGGGCCCCACCCACTATTTTTTAATACAGATATGGAAAGCCCATAACTGAACTACAATTTTGCTTGGTCGGAAGTGCAGATTTGGATTTTCTACTAGGGTACGCAGGCTCGTGAAATATGGCTTCATTTTCATGTTTTTTGCAATTTACTCCACTGGTAATCACGCTAGACCAAAACTGAGGGCAGATTCGGATTCCTCATCGCATTTTACGTCAGAATAGCTTTACCGCATGAAAATCGGAAAAAAATAGCCTTGTTGACCCCTTTTGAAGAAATTACAAGTTTTTTTAGAGTAAAAAATTAAAATGCAGATTCTGACGAAACCACTTGACATATCGACCTAAAAATTTGTGGGCATGTTCCTGACCACTAGGGCTACCTTTGTGCCAAATATGGTCAAAATCGTCAAAGGTCACCCAGATCCGTGTAAATCTTATATGGAATGACCCTCTCTTCTCTCTCGTCGTGTGCATGCAGTTTCATTACATTACGCAGCTTGTCATGAGAATTTCATTACATGGCATTAAACTTTTCAAAAATATTTAAGCATGACTGATTTTTTTTGGATTTGTCCAGGATCATAATTAAGCTTGGCCCTTTCGCTGTGTTGCAGATGTTCAAAGTACCCTGGACGCCCCACGGGCCTGCCGCCCTAGAAAGGGTGATGGAGGCTTAAGCAGTGTCCAAATGAATGGGATGCGGAGGCCGTGGAGAAAATTTGCTCCACGGCCAAGCATGATTCCTTCCGGGCGACTGCGGGGGCCCGGGGTCCGCGAAGTCACGCGTTGGGTCTATACAAAAGGCTTTTCGAAACCGCTACAAGGGGCGGTTTACAGCCGAACTTCAGGTGAGTTTTTGACACTGCACATTCCGTGCCGGAGAAACGAACGTGCTGCATGTTGCGTGTGACATCGTGTGTTGCAGATGTCCGGACGGCCCGTGCCCTATGCCCCACACGGCCCGGCCGCCATCAAGGCCGTACTGGCGGTCCGGTTGACACGGTGCCCGGAAGAGTGGAACGTGGAGGCCGTGGAGACACTTTGCTCCACGGCCAAGCACTCCTCTTTCCGGGCCACAGTGGAAGCCGGGTCGGCCAAATCGCGCGTAGGCTCAATCCAGAAGGCGTTCCGCAAGCAATTTAAAGAGCGCTTCACAGCCGAGCTACAGGTGAGTTTTTGACACTGTCCGTGCCGGAGAAACGAACATGCTGCATGTTGCGTGTGACATCGTGTTTCCCGACGCAGCCGCGGCGCGTTATACTACCGGCGTCGTCGGGATTTTTGACGCGCCCCACGGCCCGCCCGCCCTGGAGGCCGTGCTTAGGGCACGCCTCCAAATATGCCCAGATGTATGGAAGGCGGATGCTGTGTTGGCGCGATGCTCCACGGCCAAGAACGGCTCCTTCCACCAAACGGCCGCTGTGTTTTTTTTCCTATTTCTTTGAATAAAGTGACGTGTCTGTTTCAGTCCGGCCAAGGTCCAAACCTTCAACTACAACGCGCGCATGTTCAAGCTGATGTCTAAACCTAACGCCTTTGGCTTTGCTAGCTTGCCTGGCTTTTGTTGGCTGAGCGATAGCGAAGCCCGTTACTCCAGTGGGGTTGAAAAGTTTCGTCTGTTTGCGTGCGTGTGTGTGTGCACTACTCTAGAACGGCTTGGCCGATCTGGCTCAGATTTTGAAGGGTCATTAGGAATGTCCTTAGCTCGCCACACACCAAAATGCAGCTTTCTATCTCAGTCCATTCGGTCATATTAGCCAAAAAACACTTCAAAACGGCAGAAAAAAGACTACTTTTAAGGTACTTTCAACTTTGTGTCAAGTTTCATATCGTTTCATATGTTTTTGAGGCTGCTGATGACGAAAATAGAACCCGTTCAGACCCCCGACCGAAAATTAAATCCCATTGGTGTAGATTTTTATGACCAAATGCTATTTTTTGAGGGGATCACGCTTATTTCTACGGCCTGCCTAGGAAAGTAGCCTGCCCGAGACAGGTTAGCGCCGCAGGCCAAGGTAGGTGTATACGCCAGTCGTGGATTGTCGAAACTGGCGCAGCATCGCGAAGCCTGTTACGACAAGACACGGTCTGGCGTACACCTACCTTGTTTCTAAGTGGCAAATGTCGTATCTGTCCCTTCTGCTTGCAGACGGGAGCTCGATGTCGCCGTGGAGACGGATACTACTCTCATGCTCTTGTCTGGTAAGTGTTCGGTCAAGAATGAGTGACTCGCTTGGTGGTCGGGCCCGAGAGTGTTTCAACTTGCTCTTCCTCCAGGCTAAGGAAGCCGCAGTCTCACAGCTTCCCCGAGTGTTGCATGAGAATTACATCAAACCTCGCCCACCTGACGCGTGCGGTCAGCAGGTAAGCGGACCGATCGTTTGCTAGCTGATGTTTCGTCTGTCTGAACTTGGTGAGCTAATTGCGTTTCTTCTATACAGTCTCCTGGAACCTCCACCCGGCCCACCAGGCCCGAGCTTACTTGGACCTTCCATGATCTTAACCCATGGGCAAGTTTCACTTTGCATCCCGTGGATATATTATTGACCTTCTCAAGAATAACAGCAAGATGGAATGGACAGAGTAGTGGCAGAGTGCGTGCGCCGCCTTCACCCCCACTCCGCAGATTTTGACCTCTACCACCGCTCAGCAGAGCCGCCCTACGCTCTGTTGTTTCTCCCGTTCTGTCGCCGACTCCCGGTCTAGGCTTTTCCCGAAGTACACTATTGGAGAAGTCCAAACAAAAGCCAGGGAGCCTCCGAGGCTTATTGGCTTTAAATCTTACAAAGAGGAATCCCTTTCATTTTCTTGCTTTGTGGACTCGGAGCCGTGGTTTGAGGAGAAGGAGAAGGGGACTACTTGTTCCGTAGGCTGTTTATTGTGTAGCTGACATTAAATGGCCTGCATACACCACACTTCCACTAATGTTCTTATAACATGTGCCACTGTTGGGTTTAAACTAATAAGATAAGAGTTCCTAAGAGTGTTAAGCCTGGCAGATTTGAGTTTCTTTTACTTTTGATTCTATGTAAAGTTTTATCTTTCTTTACTCAATTGGTTTTGCTTGGAATATTGTTCTCCCTTTTAAGACCCAGTTGTAGTAATTTGCAAGTTTCTGTTGACATTCTCGCTGATCATTCCTAGGGAGAATGAAAGTCATAATTAGCTCGTGCCTTTAACTTCACAAATTTAAGTTTCCTTTACTTGTGTCTCTAAAAGTTTTATCTTTTCTCACTCAATTGGTTTGGCTTTGAAGTTTGTTCTCCCTGTAGAGATCCAGTAGTACTGTTTTGCAAGTTTCTGTTGACATTCTCTCTGTTTGTTACACTATCTTAACATTTGAGTGAAATGATTTGAGAAGTTTTTTTTACCTTTATAAAACCTAACACATGAGATAACTCCATATTACTGGGTAATCCTAAAGAAAGAACGCAACTAGGGTTATAGTCATACCAAACTTCGTTGGCGGTTCACCCGTAATTGAAACCTTCTTGAATCTGCTTTGGAAGAGCACCTCGGAGAAAATGAGTGAAACAGATTACGGCACAGATACCCAAAGGTCATGTACAGGAGGTAAACAAAATTCTGATAAGTAATGAACTGGAGAGAAAAACTGTAGCTTCTAATGAACTTTTTTTTGTTTAAAATACAGGATAATAGCAGGCCAGGCTTAGGGTTGTTTCCTGTCAGTGAGATCTTTAGTGGTCAAAGCTGTCACGAAGATTGGGATGTGGCATATCCGGAAAAAAATAATTCACAAGACGTTCCGCCAAACAAAGAAGTACGAAGTTTGAATTTAATTTGCTTAAACTTCTACCTTCATCAGATTTTGGTGCAAGAGTTCGAAAACCATGGCATAAGTGAAGAAGGCCTTGGAGGGCCTGAGCAGGGCAGATTGTGTCGCACACGTGCTCAACACCATTCCGAAACACACTCTTACACTGTGAAAAATTTCGTACTTTTGTACGGAAATGGAACAGAAAAATATAGTACGAAGATAGGGAGAAAAGTACACGTCCGTACTTGCTCCATATGAACCCATGTGTGCTGGTACGGAAAAAAGTACGGAAGTTCCGTAGTTGGCAAGTACGGACGGCCCAGGCAAATTAGTGACCAGACATGTTCCCAGACTTAGCTCCGTCCTTACTCTTGGTATTGATTTATGGAAGAGATACCATCTTCGACCTGATTTTGTTACTGCTACATTAGAGGTCTCTGGAGCAACATGTGGTACCATTGATCCTCCTGCTGATCTTGTCAAGGAAATTCTAACAGAAGAAGAGACGAAAGAACTTGAGAAATTGCTGGAAGAATTCAAACCTTTGTTGGAACCCGGAAAATTAGGAACCGTCAAAGGAGTGTTTCACACCATCAACATTTCCGACCGGGCGGCAGGATCCGCTTCATGCAAGACAACGCGGGCATCCACACCGGCCACATTGTGCGGGAGTTATCCGAGGAGCAACCAGACATTAGAGTGGGTTCTTTTCGTATGTGTGACAAGGTGTTTCCCTTTTCAGTTGGATGAAAATTTACTAAATTTGAAAATCCATTCTGGCTAAGGATGTACAAGTTTTTTTTTTTTGTTTTTGTTGTAGGTGATGTACTGGCCTCCGAACTCTCCAGATTTCAATCCAAAAGAGCATGTGATGGGCCCACTGCGCAAACTAATGGGAGTACAGGAACGAGCGGAACAAGGGGCTGCTCGGCAGTCACGTGCTCGACGCGTGGCGACTGTGACAGCAGAATCCGTGCTCATACATCAAGGAACGTGCAGCAGACAGATCCGTCGGCAGCGATGTCGAGGAAAGAAAGAGATTCTCTTGGGCCTGTCCCCGCGTCAGTAGCAGCAGCAGCGGCCCCCCCCCCCCCCACTTCGCTATCGCTTAGCCAAGAACGACGTTTAAAGAAAAATAATGTCAGAAATGTAATTAAATTTTATTCATTTTTAACAGTGTGTCCATGATTGCAGTTGGTGACCCCCTCCTGCATATTACGTCGGATGATCCTTGCCGTTGAAGATGCTGCTGGGTGATTCCATGTTAAGATCGCACACTTCCCGACTTCGAGGTCTCCGATTTCGCTCATATTTGGTGAATCGTCACCAATTAGTGTATAGATGACTCGTGCAAAACGGTTTTGGTCAGAAGTGGACCGTTCCGGAGATCTGGATACGTGATCTTTTTTGGTCAGTAAAAAAACCGCGGTGCACCGCGACAGAAAATCACTTATAACTCGGTCATTTTTTAAGATATCGCAAATCCGAGACCAGATTTGGAAAGAGCATAAAATTTTGCATGAGGCTGCACTGCAAACCTAACTGTCTACTAAGTACACACTTACAAATGCATGCTTGCAAGTACACACTCACAAACGCATGCTTGGCCAAGTACACACTTACAAATGCATGCTTGCAAGTACACACTTACAAACGCATGCTTGACGCATGGAGTTATATGGCGTCAAGCATGCGTTTGTAAGTGTGTACTTGCAAGCATGCATTTGTAAATGTGTACTTGGCCAAGCATGCGTTTGTAAATGTGTACTTGCAAGCATGCATTTGTAAGTGTGTACTTAGTAGACAGTTAGGTTTGCAGTGTGGCTACTTTTTAGGTCGATAGGTCAAAATTCGTTTTTACACTTTTTTTGAACATTACTAAAAACTTTCATGAGCTACCCCCAAAATACCTATGTTTCGATTTGACTCATATTCGGTTTATGGGGCCTCTATACCAAGTGGAATAACCCCTTAAAATATTGCGACTCGTTTTGCACTCGTTTAGCCGTGGTACGGTGAAACGTTCTACAACGCACCAGATAATCGCGTTTTTTTCGCGCTTTTTCGCGTTTTAGCTATCGCGGACGGCCCCGCCTCATACAAAGCTCACGCGGTGAGTGGGCAATGGAGTTACCACTTGGGTCCGGACCTCTCAGAAGCCAGGAAATGTATTTTGTGGTACTTTCGGGCCGAGTTGGGGTTACCTCAGGCATATATTTTAGCCCCTCGGCCTGAAATCACGCATTTTTGCATGATTTATTGCCACGGGGCTCAAGTGGGGCTCTAATGGGGCTCGAGCGGGGCTTAGGTCGGGGCTCATCCCGGGCTGTGGATATTGGGGCTTCGGTCGGGGCTCGAATGGGGCTCAGGTCCTGGCTCGGCTCAGACCATTGGTGCTCAAACGCGGGATGGGGCTCATGTCCTGCATACCGATGAATGGTGCCTATTCTTGGTACTAGTCTGTTCATTTCTGACTTACGCGAACGAGTACAAAGGCCAAGGTGTACGCATCCAGTCAAAGGAACCATTATTTTTGGTGCATTTATTAAACATTAACACTAGAAAGGCTAGGTTTCTGCATTACCTTTAAGGGCCAAGTGGGTCGTTTTGAGCCATAGGTGTTTCTGGCGGTTTTACTACATTTTAGTTATGGTTTTTGGTTGAAATAGTAATGTTTCTTGTTTCGTAAGTCGGGGTTTGCCCGCAGTCCCATCTTCGCCACACGGGCGGCATTTCAAGTCAAAAATCGCTAGGATGCATCGTTTGGCGGGAAAATTGGTTCAAAATAACCGAAATAGCAGAAAAATTGATTAATTTGACCCAATTTTCCCGACAAACGATGCGTCTTAGCGACTTGTGACCTAAGATGAATCTCCTCTAAATCGACCCTCCTGACCTCCGGAAGTAAGTCAGATCGGAGAAAAAGACAGTCAAAGTGAGCGAAACTGACATACGTGGGAATTTACAGGCAAATCTTGACAACATTGTCAAGTATCACTGCAAAACAATCCATCTTAATTTCAAGAAACTAGTTTGTGAAGCAGTTTAAAGAGGTTTTTTGGTATTAAAAGTAAGGAACCTTCTCTTCTAAAAACTTATGACCGAGTTTTAAAAATTCATACCGTCAACGGGGGTAACTTGGGACACCAGGGGTTACTTGGGACCAAGGGGTAAACAACTCGAGATTTTCGTGTACAATGATTTTCAGATTATAATGATTATAGTGAATATTTGATTATTGGGATTATTTTGATTATTACTGAGTATATTGATAATCCCAGATTATTTTGATTATCCCAGATTATTTTGATTATTAGTGATTATATTGATTATTAGTGATTACATTGATTATAAGCGATTAAAAACCCACTATTCCTCTCTTTTTTAAAAAGACTGAGTATATTTAAATACAAAGAGGTTGAACTACTATGAATCAGGCACCACCAAAATAACAATGGAAATGCACAGGTTTCTGCATTATTTAAGGGCCACCTGGGTCTCGGTGGGCGGATGGGGGGTTTTCCCCTGGCGGTTTTACTAAAAATTTTTGGGTACCGGAGTTTTGGTTAAAATTTTAGTAATGTTTCTTGTTGTCGAAGTCGGGTTTCCCCTCCCAGTCCCATTATTCGCCACACGGGCGGCATTCAAAAAACAATCGAAAAAGGCGGCTCGTTTGGCGGGAAAATGGTTGAACATACCAAATAGCGTTAAATTTTTAATTTGAACCCATTTAACACGACAAACAAAAAATGCGTCTTAGGGGACGGACCTGGGGATGAATCCCCTTAAAATCCCCCCCCTGCCCCTCCTGGAATAAGTCGATCCGCAAAAAAAAGACTCTAAAATGTGGGGGGAAACTGACAAAACCGTGGGTATTGGCGGTTCCCAATCTTGCAGTCATTTTTTCAAGTTTTTCACTGAAAAAAATCCTTTTCTTGATTTTCGATTATTAGTTTGTGAAAGTTTAAAGATTTTTGGTATTACAATGGAATTCTTTTAAAATATTATAAACCGATTTTTCAAAATTCATATGCGTCAACGGTGAAATCTTGGGACACCATTGCTTGGGACAGTCTGCCCTGAACAGGTTGTTGGTGCTGCCATTCAGCGAGGGGGGATCCTAGCGTCAAACCCGCGGCAGGGT